TCCTCACACACCTGGTCTAGCCTCATTTTTCCTGAGACAAAGCTCAGATGTAGAGGCTTCCAAGTGTGTCCGCCAAGTTCCTGGACATGCCGTGCCCCCTCCACCCCCAGGAACCTGGCTCGTGGCATCCTATCCATGCTCACATGCTTTTTCTCTCGCTGCCTCTGTGCATTTGCTCACACCGTTTTCTCCTCCTGGAATACCTGTTCTCGCCCTACCTTCCTACAGCTACCCTGCTTCCTCCTGAAAGCCTTCCTGACTGCCCAGCAACCTGGGCCCCTGCTGTTTGTGATCCGATTTGCTGCTGGTTGGATCTTTCTATAAACTAGCAGAGTGTCACGCATGAGATGTGGACTTTGGCTTCAGCTCTGGGTTCGTACACCAGCTCCCCAGCTTAACAGCTCTGTGACATTGGAGATGATAACTCACTCCTTGGATCATGATGGGATCAAATGAGGGACCCTAAGCAAAGCACTGAATTTCTTGTCTGGCACTAAGTAGAAGCCCAGTAAGAGTTAGTTTCCATTCATTCTTTCTAGAGGTTCCTGGTAAATACTCAGTAATGAATTTCTCACTCTCCTTTGGTTGAAAGGAAAAATGTGTGTCTCTGCTTAATCATGTGGGACTAAACTACCAGAAGATTACAAGAATATTGCTGAGCCATGAGCTGAGATTAAAAAAAAAACAAACCCAAAACTCGATAATGATTTGGCTGCTTCTTTTTAATAAAATCCTGCCAGTGGGGCTGAATCTTTGCCTTCAGAAAAAGCTCTGCTTTGCTGTACTCGTGTCTCAGACTGTTGTTAGACAGGATGTGGGACAGTGTGACCTTGAGAACAGAGCTGTGCGGGAAGGACAGCTCTCTCAGAGGCTGCAGGAGCTGGTGGAAGGGCAGGAGGGACTACAGGGGGTGTCCCCTGCCCCTCCCACACACCCACTCCTGTTCCAGCTGGTTGAATGTCACTGCCCCTCTTGAGCCTCTCCTTGGCTCCAGCCCAGTGGTAGTGCCCAGTCAGGTGATGGCTCTAGCTGTCTTGCTGCTCTTTGTGGTGAGACTGAGAGAGTGGCCAGGTATATGGGTTGTGCAAGCTCACCATTTCCAGGTTCCAGCACCCAAGGCAGTTGTTGAGGGTGGGGTATGGGGCGAGGAAGGGGCAGCAGCCCTTTAGAGGTGAGAGGAGCTTGCCACAGGGCAGCTCCTCTGTCAGCTCAGCTCCTCGATGTGATGCCAGGGCAGAGTCTGGGCAGTGGTGTGCAAGGGGCGTGCAAGGAGCTCTCTTTAATAAGCTCTGCCTCAGGGCCCTGGGTAGCCTCCTACAGATAGTGTGAAGTTGTGTTTCCTATAGTTCATGTCGGGCTGGGTTGCCCAGACTTTTCTTCTGAGAGTGTGTTAGTCCCCTGAAGACTGGTGAGTTCCCCCCTGGAACTTCAGGGCCAAGAGTCAAGGTGGATGCCCTGCAGTCAGACTCGCTCAAGTTGGAAGCTGGGACAGTGCACACCAACCATGTCACCTGCAATGAAGAGTGCAGATATATGCCACAGGGAAGGGCGAGCCATCGGAGGGGTCTAAGCAGGGAGGCCAAGCTGACGAGTTCAGACAGGGTGGGAGTCATGTTATCCTAACAGCATGGAAAGAGGATACATGGTCTTGGAAAGCTCTGAGGCAGGGAAGAGGAGGGCTTCTGCTCTCAGAAATGAGAAAAAACGGGCCTAGAGGAATAATCATAGTCATTCCCTTTTGCAACAAATCAATAATGAGTCAGTCATGCAATCCAGGATGCAGTTTGGGTGCTGGGCCCCAGGTGTTCAGACCTGCCCACCCTCACTTTCTGAGCCCTCCTAGCGCCCCACAGGATGCCTCAGTTCCCCCTTCCTGACCTTCCAAGCTGGATTAAGCACCACCTGAGTGGGGAGAGACCTCTTACAGCCAGTCCCAAGGAAAAAATGCCTTGGTTTGGCAGGGGCTATTCCTGGGAACCCCATGACATCTACAGTGGTGGCAGTAATGACCTGGCACAATCCTGAAACCCAGTGGATGCCAAGAAGAGTCAGGAATAGGAGCTCAGTTCCTGGTCAGGCTGCCCAATTCTGGCCCCAAGCAGCTCTGGCCCTGGGCAAGTAGCTGTCAGCTTATTTCTTCTTGTATAAAATGGGGATGACATGAATACCTGCTTCAGAGTTGAGGACTAAACGGGGTGGTGCTGAGGGCTTATACAGCGTTGCTGCGAGCATAGAATCCTTCAGGCTTCAGGCAGCAGGTGTCCTATCTCTTCTGTTTACTCCTGTCATGTAAATCTATGCCTGGCATAGCCTCTGGCATGTGCCTGGAACATGCTTTGTAAATACAGGGTTCACATGTTGCCTCTGATGGTTATTGTGGGAATGTTCAGAAAATATTGGCCATGGCCCAGACCTCATACCCAAAAGTTCCTCCTGCACAGTCCCAATGAGCAGCTTGTTTCATTGGAATTTTCTCCTTCCATCCAACGAGTCAGTACTAACCCACTGCCAGTGGCTGGCGTCTCGAGAAGGGGCGACTTGGCATTAGAAACCCTTGTAGGGATTTCTAAGTTCTCAGCTGCTCCATGAACCTCCTGTTCCTTTAGTGGCTTTTTGTGATTCCACTCTCTCCTCCCAGCCTCTCGGCTGCCTCAAGGAAAGAAAGAACCCACCAGGGGAAAACCCGTGTCTTCCTGCCTTCTCCCTACCCTGCTCCCTGATGCTTGCCCCTTTTCCCCCAGGTGTACGATGTGCAGTGTCACTACCTAAGGAAGTTACCAGTGGGCCCTGCCAGACCTCTCTTCCTAAGGAGATGGTAACTTTCCATTGTCTCTTGGAAAAGGAGGAAGCTGCACGCTCCCCAATTTCATCCGCCTCTCACTGGCTCAGGGTTGCTCCACGTTTTACTGTGGGGTCCCCTTAGCACTTTTCAGCCAGACCTTTCAGTGTGGGAAGCCCCTACTTCTCACCTTCACTTGAAATTTAAGAGCAGATTTAAAGCCATTAGAAAGTTCTGTACAGGTTAAATGCCTATCAGGAGCTCAAAGGGCATTTTCCAGGTAAAACTAGAAGGGAGTCTGGGTGCATTAACTGCTCGTCTCAGAGATCTTAAAATTTGGCTGTTCCGACACCAGCTGGTGCACTGCAGTATCCTGGCACTACCCACCCAGAGTCGGTGTCAGACTCCCTAGGTTTAAGGGCACAGTCCCTAAAAAGGCTGCCCCCCACTTCAGATGCCAGCTGCAAATGGGGTTCCCAAGGACATACTTCTGACCAACTGGCTAGAAATCTGGGGGTTCCTATGACCCTCCTCAGGTTCTAACCCATAGAACTTGGGAAAGCACTGTACTTAAGATGACAGTTTTATTATAAAGGATATAAATCGGGAATAACCAAATGCAGAGATGTGATAGGCAAAGTCAGTACAATAGTGGTGGTGTTTTTTTTTTTTGTTCCCTTTTTTTTGTTTGTTTGTTTATCTCAGTTACCTACTACTTCCTTACACTTTTAAGCATTTCCTGTGTGCCTGGCACTTTTACTTAATTTCTACTAATGCCATTTGAAATCTTTGATGTTATTATACTCATTTTTAAATGAGGCATTGAGGTCCAGAGGGGCAGTGACCACCTCAAAATAATGCAGCTGAACAGTACCCCAGCAAGGATTTGAATCCAGGTAACCAATTCCAGGTCAACGATGGCGCCATCTAAGTTTGCTCCAAACACGGTCCATCAGATGTTCCTTCTGGCTAGAAGACTATCTTTTCCTTATAAATGTCGGCTGTCAGGAGATGGTTGCACTTGTCTGTTACATGGTACACTATTGAGGCTTCAGAACTAGAAAAGGACCTTTTCCCAGAGGAGCCCCGTTGGGTTGCCCTGCTTCATCTAGGCAGTGATCAGCCACCCCGCCAGGCTCAGCCTCTGGATATACTATCTGAGAATCGGGGAGAGGCCGAATGGAGAACTCTCACATGCTGTCTCTTTTGCTTTCAAAAAAATTTCTGGCAGCCAGGAGCAGAAGGACTCTGAGCCAGGCTGGGCCCATCCCTTCTGAGACTCCTGGGGCCATAGCAGAGACTTGGCGGGACAGCGTAGAGAACCATTCCATGCTGAGCCTGACCTGACAGATGTTCCTTGATCTCCCTTCCTTCCCTCCTAGATGATAGAAATGCTGCAGTAGGCATTTCTGCCAGTGCCAGGCCCCAGGGGACCTGCGCAGGGCGAGGTCAGAAGCCAAACCCTGCAGTTTGGGAAATTTGCAGCACTTGTGAGATTCCCAAGAGATTTCCTGGTTCTCTTGGCCATAGCGGGGGTTTCTCAGTTGGGGGTGTTACTGCTATTTAGAGGATATTTGCTGATTTGGCTGGGGGTGGGAGCAGTCCAGGGTTGTCACAATGACAGGATCTTGCTGGCATTTACCCAGCGAGGTCAGGGGACACTAAATGTCTTGTGAGGAGCACACGCTACAAAAAATAGTCCTGCCCATGAGAGATACTGGGGAATGACCCATTTACTTCCCCTGCCCCCTGGTTCCTTGGAAAGCCACCTCTTCTCCAGTTCCCAGGCTGAGTGAATGGGAACTAAAGAGCATGCCTCCACCCCAGCTTGTGACCAATGGCAGGGCAGTATTTCCAGGTGAACGTGGGCTGGTGTGAGAGGAGCATCTATCTTGCACCCACTTGATCTGGTTCTTCATATACGTCTCTTGCTTCAGCTGGGCTCTTGTGGATCAAGGATTTGGGTGGCGACCATTCACAGAACAGCAGAGGCCCCCTCCTTGGTGCCTGGCAAGAATGCCTCTGCGGCCCACCCAGTGTTGACGCAACCACCTTGCTCGGAGTCCCTCTCCCGGGGTCTGCTTCCCATTTCTGTTTCCACATCTCATCTTTTCCTCTGAGCTTTTTCTGTTTCGTTACCTGTTTTCTTTACAGGAAATGTGTTGAAAGGAGCCTAGCTCGGATGCCATGGCTGAACCCCTCTCTTCTTATTGTTTTACAGTTGGCAAGACGTCTCTGATCACACGGTTCATGTACGACAGCTTCGACAACACATACCAGGTGAGGTCGTGGGTGCCCCTGCCCTCCCTCGTGTCTGCAGCCATGACAGTTGCTTGGAGCCCACCCTGGCCTCTCTCTAGGGCTTGCTAATGCTGAGATGAGAATGGGACTCCTCTGAGGCCCAGGTCGTTTTTTTTGGCCTTGAAGGAGCCTCCCATCTCTGCACTGTCCTCAGCCCAGGAAAATCCCTGAGTCCTCTGAGGGTCCAAACCTCCGTAAAGGAAACAGTTCCTGGTAGAGGACGACACATGTCAGTCTGTGCCCTCTTGCTCCCCATGGGCAAGTGTAAACCATGATAGTGTTTGGTTATTTGGGGGGTTGTCACGTGGAAGAGCATGGACCAGACGCAAAATGAGGGAGATAAAAGAACAGTAGGAGAACTTGCTCCTAGAACATGGTTATATTTGTTGGACCTTCATGCCTGTGTGTGCACACGCTCAGACAGACACAGACACACACACAGGATTGCTGAGCTACTTCCTTCCTTGGAGGGGCTGGTGCGATGGGCTTGCACTGCTCTCTCTACACAGGCAGGAGGCTAGACAGAGTGACCTCTGTGGCTCCTGGCCCTCAAGGCCCAGAGGTGGCTCTAGATGGCTCAAAGGCTGAGCTCTGGGAGGTCAGTAACATTTCTCTTTCCTGGCACCACTGATGAGCCAGGAGGGTTATGCAAATGAAGTAAATTTTCTCTGCAAACTATAGTTTTTTTGCAAAAGGCACCAAATTTAACCATTTCAACTATTTTTAAGAAAAAAAGATATTGTTTTCTTCCTTAAGACAGAGACAGATAATAATGTATTTTCTAAGCCAGTAGATTCTGTGGTTTACTAGCTCCAAGGAATATTAGTAGGTGTTATATGAGGGAAAAAAGACGGGGAGGAAGGGTTAGTACTTGTATAGGTTTAGGGGGACACTGATAAGCAAAAGGAAATCAACTCTTTTATTACTGCAGGATTTTCAGGGCCTTTACTGCACCAATGTATGGTTTCGTGCTGAGAGGATGTAGTGTGGACGATTTCCCAGATGTATTTGATCACGGAATCTTTTTGTCACCAATTCCTCAGAGGACAGATATTTATAGAACACACTGGCGATGGCCGTGCTAAGAAGTCACTCCTCTTTTCTGGACTGACAGAGGATGAGGGGCACAGCTCACTGCTGGTGACCATTCTTTGTCTGCTTTTCAGTCTGTCTTTCTCCCTCTGGACCAATCATTGTGTTCGCCTCAAATACAGCCCCTCTCTCTGCCTCTCTCAAATTCCCTGCTTTCTCTCTGCTGTCATCTGAAATGACAGAAAACTAATGGAGTTGGTAAGAATTGACAGAAGGGTCAGAACATGAGGCTCAGGAGATGGGCCCCAAGTGATGTGCACAGCCCTGCACACCGGCTTTGATTGGTGATCTCAGCCACGCTTTGTTGTGTCCTCTCCAGGCTGGGGCTTCGCACCGCTGCGAGCCTGCCAGAGGGGAGTCCTACCACATCTGTCTGCATTCGAGAGTCCAACTCTAACAGACTTCAGTTCTGAAGTCTGACCTGGTGTTCATTTGTGTGTAATCTCACAGACATTATTTCAGTTATTTGATGTTTTTGAATATCAGGACAATTATAATGACTCTTGTTGGTGTCCCATGGAGCACAGTGAGACTCTTGGCTGATTGGTGTTCTTGGCAGTGATGGATGGCAAAAATGACCTTAGAGCCTCTGCAGGGGTTCTTATTGACATGGATCAGCTCCTCCCCGTCTTGTTTGAGTCTCACAAAACCTCAGCCCACCTCCATTTCCAGTGTCATCTCCCATTGCCCACTGCTCGTCCCACATCCCATGGTTCGGTGGGCCTCCCTGCTTGCTTCTCCCCACGCAGTGACACTATCATGCCTCTACGCCTTGGCTCATGGTGTTGCATCTGCTGGAATTCCCTTCCTTCTCCTCTTCTGTGTTGTGAAAGATTCATCTGACTCATCAAGGCTCAGAGTCCATGTTCACTCTGTGGGTGGGGCCATCCCCATACTCCCCCTCTCCATGGTCCCCTCTACCCTCGCACATTGTCCTAGGCGCTCATTTGCTTCCAGACTCTATAGGAACTCCTATGTGCTCTGGTTCCTGGCTGGGCTCTGGGCCTGGCTGAGGCCAGCACCCCGTAGGGGCCCAGTACAGGGCCTGGCCATAGCTGGTGTCAAGTGCAGGTTGGTACCAAGTATCTTGGAGAGGCACTGTCTTACTTGGGCTTAGACCCCACCAGACTGAGAGGCCATCGAGGCCCAACGTCAATGTCATGGTAAGAAGCAGAGAAGGCCGGGGCGGGCGAAGCAAGTACCCTCCCTACTGCTGGCTTTTCTGACCTTTTTTTTTTTTTTTCAGCAGGTAGAATTTCTTCCCTAATACCCTTTAAAATGGTAATTAGGCTGGGAGATTGGGGCTCCAATTCTTCGTATGCACAGGCTCCTTTTAATGAATTCTCTAGAGACTGTAGAGGGGGAAATGTTATTTTGTTTATTTTCTTAACATGGGGGCAGAGACGTTTGTAAGTAGACAAGATCCCCAGGGGCTCTGGGTTATGTTTCTAGTTGTGACTACTCCCAGCACCGTGACTACTCCCCACCACCCCCACAAACATCCTGTCCATCAGCCAGTACAGCCCAGCGCCTCTACCCCACCCCCCACCAAGCCTTGATTAGCTGTGTTTCCCGGACATTTCCCAGGACAGAGTCACCCCTCCCCCTTCTCATCCTTTCTGTGTGCCTGTGGTTCTGCCTCTGGCTCGGCTCCCCCATTCACTCTTTCTGAAAACAGATATCAAGCACTTACTCTATCTGAAGAGATAGTAGGAGAAAATGACCTGGTCACAGAATCTGGCCCTGCCTTGAGCCTTGCATGGAGGGTGGAAGGGTTTCAACCTCATCCTGGTGGCAGTCAGCCGAGTCCTCCTCAGCCTGAACATACCTGAGGCCCCAAGGGGCAGGTATGAGGACCCTAGGGAACCTGGGCATGCAGAGCCTGGTCCCCCTGTTAGACTTCTTTAGGGGATCCTGTTCACCTGGCAGACCCTGGGGAGATGCCACCTTGTCAGCCTGCAGGCCTCAGGAGAGTGGGTCTTCTGCCGCCTTCTGCCTGGCACCCCTCTCTACACACTCGTACCTTGCTCTCCTCTTGACACATGCATTCCCCAGCCTCTCGCTACCCTGCCCATCACCCCGTCTAAATCCACTCACTCGAAGAAGCGAGGAATCAAGACATACAAACAGCCTGGTGAGATTCACATCTGCAAAAATTCTGTTGTGTAAAACCCCAACTAAGAAATTACTTTCAAAATGCACAGGAGAAGAAACCTTCTGGTACCTGCACTGTGCTGAGACTTGACCCTCTGTGTGGGCCAGCCCCTCTTCCCTTCCCGTAGGTCAGTGAAGCACACCTGCAGGCCTGGTCCTTGGGCTACCTGTTTGAAACCTGCACTAGAGCCGTAATGGGAGGTCTCAGGCCTCCGCAGGTGACTGCAGGCGGTGGGAGGGGCAGATCTGGAAGCAGTACTCTTCTGGGGTTTCTCATGGGCCCTCATGGGTCTTCTGTCTTGGCTGCACAGGCTGGCTCAGGCATTAGCATTTTTAAAATCTCACAGGTGATTAAGATGAATTTATGGCCAAGGCTGGAACCACTGGCCCATCCCTGGACCTCCTACCACAGCATGAGGTGGGGAACCAGCCTGATGGGCTGCCCGCAGGAGAGGGTTTCTGCCTGCTGGAGCTTACTCTGCCTGCTGGAGCTTACCCTGCTGCTCCCTGGGGTGCAGGAGCGTTTCTGGAGCACTCCCGGGGCCCACGGAGCCTTTGGGAAGGAAACAGAATGGCTGTGTCCACCTCGCCCTACCAGGCCAAGGGTGTGCCTGAGGAGCTCTCAGCTCTCAGCAATCCGCCTGCCCTGCCCCAAGGCTTTCTTCTCTCATCTCCTAGATCTATATTATTTTCCTGGGGCTGCCGTAACAAATTACCACAAACCGAGTGGCTTAAAACAACAGAAATTATTCTCTCACAATTCTGGAGACTAGAAGACTGGAACAAGATGGGGCAGAGCCGCAGTCCCTCCCGAGGCTCTAGGAAAGCATTCTTCCTGGCCATTTCCAGCGTCCGCTGGCTCCAGGTGTTCCTGGGTGTCGGGCTGCGCAGCTCTATGTCTTCCTCTGTCTTCACGTGGTCTTCTCTCTGTGTCTCTGTGTGTCCTCTACTTACAAGGACACTGGTCAGTGGATTTACGGGCCCACTTAAATCCAGGATGATGTTTCATCTTAAGATCCCCGATTAATTATATCCACAAAGACCTTTTTTCCAAGTCTGATTGCATTTTGAGGTTCCAAGTAGACAGAATTTTGGAGAACATTCTTTAACCCCCTATAGGGTCCTAATACCTCCCAGTCTGATCCCATCGGGGACCAGACTCTCTGGCCAGGGCCTCAGCATGGTCTGCCTACCCCTCGCCTCCCAGCATGGACCCCTCCAGGCTCCCAGGCTTCTCTGGTCCTTCCGGTGCTACTGGCCCAGCTTCTGGCCTGGGAAACTATTTCTCCAGGAGCATATCTTGGCAGCACTTTTCCTCCTCACAAGGCTTTTCAAAATGATTATATGTTTCTTTGTGTAATATTGTAAGTTAATAAAGTAAGTAGGTTTACCGAGGCCTGGTTATTGACTCTGTGGGGCCACCCATCTGGCTGCTCTGCAGCCTACAGACCAATGTCTGTTTCCAACCCAACAGGGTTAGCCTTTCAGAAGAGCTGAGCTCCAGCTGGGCCACACAGCAGCAGCACATCTCAGTTGCTCAGGGATGATCATTTGTTAGGGATCGTGGAGTGTGGAGAGCTGTGCTTTGTCCCATGTGGGGTTTAATTTTCTGAACTCTCTTTCTGGAGCAGCAGTTTCTGCTAATGCTTGTCCAAGCACACTCAAGCAGGTGGTCTAGGGGTTGCCAGGCTTAGGCGGCCAAGCCCCACAAGAGCAGCAGCAGCACATCTCAG